AAAAAAACCCTTTTGCATTCCATAAAAATTGACAGAAAAGCGCCTTGGAATCAGGCTATAGAAGAGCAGAACGTTCAGCAGGTCTCCTAATCAATGTCTCCTTGCAAATCTGATTTAGTCAGTATAGTACAACACCAAGGAACAACCTCTCTTCCCTCCCTCCCAGCAGCCATTCCCTGTGCCCAACCCCCACCAAACACACGTGGAATAGATTTTTTTTTTTTTTTTTTCCAGTTCTTCCTCTTTCACACACCACAGTATTTAATAAATTTTTTTTGTTTTACATTTTTTACACCAATGTAACAAAAGGCAGGAGGGGGGATGGGGGAGGAAAAGACAAACAATGATCCGTGTGTATGCGTATAAATGGGGGGAGGGTGGAAGAGGAAAAAAAAATACATGGACTTCTACAGAAACATAGCCTAAGGTCTCAATAGTAAAATGTGGTGCAAAGTAGGCCTCAGAGACTGAAAAAGTTTGTACAGCTTTATTCATGGGGAGAAGATGGCGTTGCATGAATAGTATTGAATGCAAATTGTGACGTGACGTAACAGAAAAGGTCAGGGGGATGAGTTTTCTAAGAAAGGAATCTAACGAGTGCATGGCATGTCTTGTTAGCATGAAGAGTACTTTAACTTTGCTGCTTTCTCTTCAAAGCCTCCACCAGGTCATTTTTAAGAGCTTCTTGTTTTGATTTGTCTGCAAAAGTCTGCACAGACCTGTGGGGAAGAAGGAGACACAAGTCAGAGGCGATGCTCTTGAATGAGGGTTTGTACCAGCTCTTCTGGCATGGGAGCAATAGCAGAAGCACCTCAACCCAGGCTTAGAGAAAATAAAACTCAGCTTGCCTGTTTTAATCCAGAAAACAGAAGGCAAAGTGAATACTTCAGTGCTTATGTCAGAGAGAAGTTAAGCCTATAGCAAGGGCTGCACCAAGAGATGCTCCCAGCAGTTGCACCCCACCTCCAGCTGCTGGAGGGAGAGTCCCACTGTTTTATGTTACAGGTTGGAAAAACCCCAGTACACCACCAGCAAAAGGTGTTAGTGCTCTCACTCTCAAAAAGGACCACAACAGGAAAGGAGAGAAGTCCAGCCTCTGCCAACAGAGGTGAAATCCCAGCTCTGGGAGCTCCTTTCTGCAGACTGTTCACCCAGGATAGAGCAGCCACGTCAAAACTTCTTCCAGCAAATTCACCGATGGGAAAAGCACCCAGAATTTGTTCTTGAATTTGCTTTTCCAGCTTACACCTTGCCTACAGTAATTAGTGAATCGAGTTGGCAAGATTACTGCAGGGGTTCCTTTTTGCTACCAGTCTGGTTACAAAGAGCTACACCTTCCAGCCATCTGGGCTCACTGCTCTGGAAGAGAACTGCAGAGGAACCTCGCTTTCTGATGCTACAACTTCCAATTTCAAGAGAACAAACTTTTAAACATGATCATCCATGGAATGACACTGCCAGGCCTTTCTGCTAGCATAGAAGCAGTGAGGATGCAGTTTGGGAGGATTTATACCCACATAAAGCCATATTTCACACCCTCCTCTGTGCTCCAAGCTACCTCATTTTGCCTGGATGCCATCTCCTGTAAACAAAGCTGCTCTGTGTCTCAGTTATTTTTCTAACATTTTTCTAACAGTTATTTCCATTCTCTTGTCTCTGGAGACTTCCACTGCCTTCATAAAAATATATACATTTTATATTTGCATTTGTCACAGGCTAAAGAAGTGGTTCTCAGCCATTATCAACAAACAGTGCATTTTCCCCTTCGTCAGCTGAACGTGTTTAAGACAACATCTGTAATTCATTACCAGTTGGAGTGGAAGGTTAAACTGGCTCAGGTTAGTCACTGCCGTGCGTCCTGGACATTCAGAGCTCCAGAGCAAATGAGAGCATATGAACAAATCCCATTGGAGGCTGTGCAGAGCACTCAGCAGAGCTTGAGCAGGACTGGCTTTTCAAGCTCCAGGGAAACTGAAGATACACCAAGCACTACGGGATGTGCATGTAGGGGAAACTGACTCAGAAGTACCACAGAGAAAGGTGTTTTCTCACCCGACTTTCAAAATGTTATTCCTTTCTGCAAGGAGGACTTGAAGATTACAAGGAATCTCTTCACCGGAACAGCTGTAAAAACTCATGGTGCACAAGGGACAGAGTCCCAGGGCTTATGGAGGCAGTAAGTCCAAGCTTACAGCACTCTGGGTAAATGACCATGTGCTCCTTTCTTGCTCCCAAGCTACAGTGCAAAGTGGTAAGGCCTGCCCCACATCTGAGCGTGACATTTCAAATGGAGTAGAGTAACATCTCAAGTAAAACCACACCATTTAGTTGGCTGTATTAAGAATAACCCTTGGGTGAAAGATGGATCAGATGTCGTTGGTCAGTCTGCAGGAGTTAGGGGTTAGTTCTGCCCTCAGTTATCATGCAGAGGTCTCGGCTGGGTGAGTCCTGGTTTAGTGCTGGTTGTCACACCTGGCAGGGTACCTGGATTGGTTTAGTTATCAGGCTGGATGTAGATCTGGCGCTGGGTCAACACTTGAGAAAGTTCTCTCTGCAACTGCTTATACTTTTGGTTGTCGGGGATTGCATCAATAGATCTACAGAGAGCAGTTTGGAAACGAGGGAAGTAAACAGGGAAAAGAACAGTCAGAAGAAATCAGGTAACACAGCTGGTATTCTGGAACCCACTGGAAACACACTTAGGGAGAAAAAATGTCAAATCATAAGTTGGAAGAAACAGGAAAAAGGCAAGAGGAAAAGGCACAGCCGGATGCTCTGTGTGTTACCAGTTCTGAGCAGATCATCTCAGTGCTGCACAAAGTAACACAAACTGAGCAATGAGGAGACACAGGAAACGTTCAGTTACAAAACGTGAAGGCCATGTTCACAAGGAAGAAAGCCTGTTGGATATATTTCTTTTTAATGCTAATACATGCTTCCTGGCTAAAGCCCTGCACGCTGCAAATGGAAATAGAGGCTCGGTAAGAAAGCTGGGATTTGGGAAAAAAAAGTAAAAAAACAAAACAAAACAAAACAGAAAAGCTGCTTTGTCATGATGCTGTTGACTCCCTCTGGCCATGCTGTGAAGAAGGCAGCACAAATATTCAGCTAGCTCCATTATTCTATCATCTGAAGAAGAGGTTATTGATTTGTTTTCCTTATTTCAGAACAGGAGAGAAGAACAGCATACATCTGTGCACCACTTGGATATTCTGCATTACCCACCGTGCAGCAGAGCTCTATGTGCAGTTTAAAATAAAAAGATTTGGCATCACATTTCTACACTTTTCTCTACAAGCATGAGAACTACCAGCTTGGGATTTCTATACCAAATGCCTCACCAGACAGGAGAAGGGGTTGAAAAGCAGAGTAGTTTCCCCTGCAGAAAGGCACAGAGGGTTCATTCACTTCATCTGTTCTAGTACATTATATTTTGACCAAAAGTGTTGAGAGAAAGACAGAATTTAAAACAAAGCCTAAATATCACAAGCCATTTAATGTCATTACTTAATTTGGGGACCGACTGTTTTTAAGAAAGCTGAAAAGAGAAGTCAGAATTCAAGTACTATTTTCAGAACTGTGCAGAATAAGGCTCCCAATTAACAATAATTCTGAAGTACAAGCACTGCTAATTGAGCTATTTTCTTCCTGGTGAGGGAATAAAGGATTTAAACCTTGCTTCACATTGCTGCAGTTACAAAATAGAAACGTTCCCCAAACTCCACACACAATAATTTTTCCAAAGCACAGTGAGGTGAGTAATTAAACGTGGAAAGGCTTTGTGTAGGAAAGGGCAGTCAGCAAAAGAAAGCAGATGACTGCTGGAGAAACAGAGACACAGGCATGATGGGGAATGGCAAAGAAGCAAATGGTCAGCTGGAGGGCTCCTTACCTCAGCCCATTCACAATGTCCTTTGTTTTTCCAAAATAAATCTCGTTCAGTGTACTTCTGATTTTGTTTTCCATGTCCTAGAAAAGAAAAGTATGAAACCAGTCTTTAGGCTGTTCAGCTGCTTCCAGGACAGTGGCACTTACACTCCTTTGTGCAACTTATACATTCACCTCAACGTTCAAAACAGTATGGCCCCATCTTTCTGGTTTTACCCAAGTTTAAAAGGCTTAGCTCTGTCCCTGCCCACTCCTAAATGTTAACTCCATGAGATGGCAGTTCTAGGCCACAAGAGGGCAGTTTCTGTCCACCTATTTTTTTTTTTTTCCTGCATATATCAGCAAAAAAAGTGCATTTCACCTCAATTTTATGTGGTAATTTCCTGGCACCCAACCCCAAGCCTTCAGTCTCACTGTACTGAGCACGTGGGACCAAAAGGTGCCATAAAACCATAAAAGTAGCAACAATTTCAGTCGACTCAATAAGCACTAGAAACACCGAATTTTTGAGTTCTGAATAACATATCCTGACTTTAAATAACTCTGCCTTAAAAATGACTGTAGAAACGATGAAGGGGGCAGGCTGTTGTTAGCTAGTTCTCAGAATAGTTTCTTTCACAGGAAGATTACTGCTCTGCTGAGCAGGAGATCAGGTGCAGATGGCCCTTCTGCATCAACAGACTGAGCACCATTCACACCAATAGATGTAATAGAGTATAAACCAATAACTTGCTTGTGAAGTCAAAGGCAAGCAGAACACAGAGTTCTTCAGCACGGGACCCAGTATGGGTGAGAACCTGCAGCAAGTTCAAGCTACAAAGGCTTCACAACCTTACCTCTACCAAGCGTCCAATATTGGCTATGTGTGGAGAAGAGTCGCTCACAGTCTCATCTTTCTCCATCTGTTAAGAAAAGACACAGATCCATCAATGCTGTGGAAATCTGATGATACATACACGACAGCTTTACTTCTCAAGAGAAGGGATAAAAGAAGTAGGTCTCAAAATCCTGGACTAACTCTGTTCTTTCAGTGTGCAAACAAACAAGTAACATACTGAGAAATTCCATGGACTAGATAAAGGCTCACATGTTGATAACAGAAACGTGGTATAATGAAAGCCATGAGTCAAAGCAAAACCCTGCAGCAGACTCCTGGTGTAGACAGGCACTACGAAATTGTCATTCCCTACCTACTAAGGGGCTGCAGGAGGTGCACATGTAGCAGGACAAGCAGCACAGAAGCACAGCATGTGGATGTGAAAACAAGGCTGTTGATGAGATGCACACAAGGATGGTGCTGTCAGTTTAACTGCTGTGAGCTATCCCTGCAAAAGCAGCTGTTTATTTTCATCTTCATCTCAAATGCTTTTTCCAACCACACATAGGGCACATTCTCCATTTTCAGGATTTCCTGGCAAAAGAAGTCTTAGGTATTACTTACCTTCTAGTAAAGAGGGAAGGAAAAGAGAAATGTAAAAATCACAGCTATCTGTGAGACTACTGACAACTGCATTAACTGCAATTACATGGAAAGAGAAATATGAACACTTGTTGATCTTTTTTTCTTTTAGACCAAAACCAAACCAACTTAATCACACATTTGCCCACTGGGGGAATAAGTACTGATTGCTAAGTATGGGGGGGAAGAAGCAGTCTGTATTCTGGAAAAACGAATCAGAGTTGGACCAAAGTTAAGTAACATCACAGTACCACACTCTTAGTACTGCTTGAACAGGAGACAAGTACCAACCCAGGTGAGATTTTCCATTACAAAGACTGAAAACGGGAAGCTGGCACTGCAGAATGCCAGGTTTTCCATGTTTCAGCTGCCTTTATCCAATACAATGTTCACCCAGGGGCTGTGGCTGGCTGTCCATGATCTGTAAGCTTCAGTTGCCAGGGGAAAAGACAATCTTCCCAATTCCCAAGATGAAAATTCTGGCTAAGTGCAGACAAGCTGTTGAGCAATCAGACCCAGGAACCTCAGATGACACAAGATGTGCTGAGATGGCATGGAAAAAAAAAAACAAAAAAAAAAAACCAAACTGGGAGAAAAATGTAGTGGGAAGAACAGTCTTCAAAGGGTTTTACTAATCCCGCTGAATTCTCTTATCCATCTGTTCATATCCCTCCCTCAGGGTAGAGTTTAAATATCTGGGCCAGCTACAGGTTTCTTCTAATAAGCCAAGTCTCTAACAGGCTTAGGGAAGCATGTAATTTAGTTGGAACCCTGAAGGCAAAAGATAACCTAGAAAGGGGGGGGAGGGGGGAGAAAAAGAGTAAGAACGTTTAAATTCTTCCTTTAGATTACAGTCAGATTGTTTACATGTAATGGAGACACGTTGCCTGAAGAATGGATCCAGTCGTGGGAGAAGGAGAAAATAAATCTGAACTATGCAAACACACACACATACAAGTTATGGTGAGTTTGGGAACTAGCAGCAAATTGACCAAATCTGGGGCTGCAGGGCAGCTGGCAGTGGGTCACTGACTTTGACAAGCTCCCCACCACGTCTCCTCCACACCTGGACACACCAACTTCATTGGTAAGAAACAGCAACTGAAAATAGAATTATTATTTTTTTTTTTTTTCCAAAATGCTTATTATTACATCTCCATAAAATCTGCTGCCAGAAGGAAAACATTTTTTATGTGCTATAGAAGCCCAGATGTTATGAGAGGCTGTTTTAATGGAGTTCAGAGTCAGTAAGCAGCCGTGTTATACAAACAGCAGAGTTGTTGGGATTTTTAAAGGTTCCTTCCGTTGGTTGTCACTGCACAGACCTAGGCAGAAAGCCTACAGCCACTTAAATAAAGGGGTTAATTTGTACAGAGGGGAAATTCCATTCTCTAAGTTGATGTTAACAAGCAGCTCATCTTCCCACTGTCCCTCCCCATCTGCCACTGTGCTCAGCCAAAAACCTTAACGCTCCAGAAGGAGCCAAGTCCCATCTCCATGGCCCAGTCTCTCCTCTCCCATTCGAGGGAGATGCTGCCTGGCTTCCTTGCCTCGTTTCCCCAGCCATCTGCTGCAGGTCTGACTCAGAAGGAAACTCACTCTTCTGGGCATATTCAGCTCTTGATGGCTGGCTGGTCACTTGGGTTGTTTCCTGCATGGAATACAGCAGCTGTTTGGGCTTTCTGAAAATGTTATTTGGAGGAAGAGTTAACACTGAATGAGAAACGTAAGTTGGATAAACACTGGTTCATCATGAAAGCACCTAAAAATACTAGAAAGATAAGAGAGAAACTCATCTACGTCGCTCTGAAGAACTGACGACAAACAGCCACAGCTGCTCTGGCCATGGAGCAACGTGAAAATCTCCTTAATGAAACACAAACAGACCAACGTGAGCCAAAGGCTCCCAAGCCACAGGCAGTGGGCAGACTGAAGTCTCCAGGTGGAAAATATGTGGAATTATTTGGATATCAATGAAGCACAAATTGGCCTTTTTCTCCAACGCTTATTTCAAACTCTAACCAGATAAATGAAAGCTGTGAGCTCCACACAGCTTATGGTGTTGCAGAAATCAGCCAAGAGCTAACCTCATCTTTTCATGGCCTTCAAGCACATTTATTCCCAATCAGTGTAACCAAACAACATCCTCTATCCTTTCCCAAACTGCACCTTCCAAACCATGAGCAAAACCAGTGATATTACACCAGCTCTCCATGCCAGTCTGCACTTGCTCATCTCCTCTACTCTCTCTCATCCTAAACCTGGTCTAGTATTAAATGGGGAGGTTGGTGGCCCTGCCTGTGGCAGGGGGGTTGGAGATTCATGATCCTTGAGGTCCCTTCCAAACCAGGCCATTCTGTGATTCTGTAAATCAGTAAAATCTGTGTGCCAGGTGAAGCAGAAAGTTTCCTTTTCTTGTACAATTATTACTCGGTACATCTCTGCTATTCTCTGCACCCCAAAATGCCTCCAGGACTTGGGAAAATGGCATAAGGAGTCTGACAGCTACAACTCACAGATTCCTCCATTGGAAATACACTCCTGAACAGCCCGTTCTGCCTCAACATCTGGAAGTCAGTGGGATAGGCCTTTACATGAAAGCTCAGCTTGATGAAAATATATGACTTGCCTAATTGCAGAGCACTAGCCTCAGAGGATTTACCTATTATGATAAATGGCAGAATGTCTCTGCTGGTGCTTTATTGAGCAGTAATATATCACAGAGCACATCTTCCTGTGCGCAGGAAAAGCTCAAATTGCAGCAGACCAGCCTTCATCCAGTTCTGCAAAATGTTCCACCTTTGCTACAGAGTATTTCAAGCACGAAAAATCAACACACATCTGCACTGCTTTAATCTGAAATCCCAGGCTTCACTTCCTCTACAACTTTATATCCTCCCCTTCCCATACCTCCAGATGTAAATAAACTCCAGGTTTGGAGCCAACGTCTTCCTCAGTGAACTGGCACTTCCTCACAATGCTCACCCTGGCTTAGGAAACACAGACGGGTTCTTTGTGCACAGCAGGAGCTCAGCAAGGCACCTGTTAGCCTTGTTTTTTAAGGAGGGGGCTCCAGGAAGCTGTCCAACAAAGTGCACATTTGATTGTTTGCCAGAAAGCTGGAAGGCTCCATCTACTTTGCATAAAATGAAACAGGACCATACGATTGCTCTGACTGAAATAAAAGAGCAGCCTGATGCAAGCACAAAGCTTTGGTTGAAACAGTGGTGAACAGCACAAGTAATTGCAGCACACACAGAGGATGGGACCCCAACGTCTGTCAGACAGAGAATCATCTGCCAAGCATCTGGCTCAAATCAGGATGGGGTGGGAGCTACCTGCTGCCAGTGGAGTGCGTGCAAGGTAATTGAAAAGCTGCTGGCATCCTTCATTTCCCTGTAAGCACCACTCCTTGTTGCAAACTGAAGGCAGTGTGTCCTGTCCTTTCCTCTCCTCGCAGACGTACAGCACTTCGATCTGTGGCCCCTCGCTGACGCAGACAGCACAGAACACGCCGAGTACTCTTTCCCTATCCAAATTCCAGCCTCACTCCCCGTATTTACTGAAGCCTGCCAGTGTCAGATGTGAGCTGGGAGCTGCTTCCTCCGTCCTGGCTGTGGTGCAGCAGCTCCACGCTCTCTTGAACAGCATCCAGGCTCATCCCCAGAACACAAGCTGCCTAGAGAGCACTCTAGTTGCAGGAGCAGGTCTCTGTCTGACTCTTTTTGCCTTTTGGGGCAAGACAGTAGCAACGGATAATGAATGGATAAAGCAAAAGCCTGAAGTTCTCATTTAGAAAACCATCAGGCTAAGTGAAGCTACATAAAGACTTTCGACCTCCTAAAACAGGACAGCTCCTCAGTATCTCACATCTCTCCTTCCTTATTCTGTCTACTTACAAATGTAAAATGCTGTAGAGTCAGTTTCCCATTCTAAACAAAGAGACAACACTAAAGGAGACACAGGACAGGGAAATGACTTCTGACTGCCCAGAGCATCCAAAGTCAGGTGTAAAAAATACTGAAATACACAGCATCTGGGAAAGAGAGGCAAAAAAAGGTTTTATTTTTAAAAATTCTCTGCAACACTTAGGAAGAGCCTAAACAGGAGGGTTCCAGGAACAGCTCTGAGGATATTCTAGAAATGCACAGACACATTTTTCCAAACAGTCTCAATAAAATCAACAAAGAAAAAAACAAAAAAGAAGTATGCTGGTGTCTGATGTGTTGCAACAATGCTTCACCAATGGGAAATGACAGCAGAAAATAATTTAGGCTCTTACTTCCAGATCCCATCCTACCACAGTACCGTGCTGTCCACTCACAGAACAAACAGGACTGCCTGTCTGCTTGCACCGAGTGTCATCTGCAGACATCAGGAAGGGGAATTACTGAGCAAGTGTTTCCATATGAAGCTGCAAATGCTCCCCATAGCATTTCAGTGTGAGCCATGCCCAGCTCTTCGAAGCTGCCAGAGGTGGTGGTGAATTAGGAGGCATTACATGAGCTGTTCCTTTGCGCCTGCTCCTGGCCACCAAGTTAATCATTCCAATCATCACTTGAAAAATACCTGATTTGCAGCTAGGAGGTGAAACTGATTTCAAAGTAATGGCTCTCAACAGACTTCCTTTTCCAAGCACTGAAAGGTTCTCCCTGCCATCAGCATATAAGCCAGGATATTACAAAACTTGTGAACACTTCAAAAGCTTCCATTGAAACACAAAGACATCTGCTATTTGCATTTTAGGATCAAAAGTGGTCAAGTAGGTAGCTTAAATGTTGAGTTGACCAAAAACATGAACAATCTACTATAAAGAAAGGTGTTTTGTAATGAGGGTTAGAACAACAGCTTACTGATATTGTCAAACTGTGACATTCATTCACAAGATGACTACAGCCTACTTTTGGTGTCTGAGTTCACTGCAGAGTGTATAAAAAGCCCACCAAAAAGCAAAACTAGAACTGCTGTCCCATAAAGCACATCATGGCATCTGCAAAGCAGAGCTCTGCAGTCCAAAGCAAAATTCTGAAACTCAAGTTTCCATTGTTTGTGCAGAAGCAGTGCATCATTACCCCAGTGGCTCCTTTATGGTTACTTACATTGGAAGCAGGCCCCTGCTTTAATGCATCACATATGAATTAAATGATCTGCTGTTAAAATGATGACAGAAGCATGAATCTCCTCACTAAAGCCGAGAGAGTGAAAGTCAAACTAAACAAGGCCAAGCAGTTCAGGCCAAGGTGTACTGAGGACACCCATCCTCAACAGACCCTTGTTTTCCTTGGCATAGCACTCACACACCATAAGGCCATGGCCAGAGTCAAGCCCTTGGCGTCCACTTCACAGCTATGATTTAAAGTATTAGGAAGGCCTGTGATTAAATATTTGTCTGGGTCACCATAACTCGAGTGTAATTACTGCAAACATTTTAAAAGAGTACGCAATGCTCAAAAACCATCTCCAGATGCCTCTTTTTCCCCTCCTGTTTTTCTATCAGCTTCTTCTGTAAATCAACAAGGTGGAAAGAAAAATCTAGGGCAAGCTTCCACGTCTGCAAGACTAACACAATTTAGTTCCTCTCAATGATCGTAGAGCCTTTGTTCCTTTGCCTGCCTCAAACCTGTACAAAACCATGGGCTGCTTAACAGAGTCTGCATTGTCCTTTGTATCGAAAGCAACAGGCTGCCCTGGGAAGTCTCATAAAGGAGTTTTAGCAACTGCCAATCTCTCTAGTCACTCATGACCACACAATATGCCTCCTGTCCCCCTGAGTTTATTACTCTTTTCGAGTCACTGACTTCTACAACCCCAGTTCATGCAGTACAGAGACAGCAACCTCTGGCAGGTGGCTGGGGCAGAGGCACCTTCAGGCAGTGCACTCAGCTCTGCCACTGCCTTTGACAGCAGTGTTGCCTATCAGTCATCATTCTGGCACCTTCTCTCTGAAAAATGGTTTTTTCAAGAGGAAGCCAAAGCAATTTGCACTAGAATAATAAGAAAAGGCTTAGAAGACATGTCTTTTTTTTTTTTAATCATTGTGCTGGTACTGCAGGAATAAAACACTAAAGAAAGATATTAAAAAATACTTAAAGCCTTTAAGAACAGAAGAATTATATGGTCCAAGCAAAATACAGGGCTGGCCACTGTGGCCTAGCTGGCTTTTAAAAAAAGAGATGGAACAAAAAAGGTCATCTTATTTTTTTTTTTTTATATAATCCTACTGCAATCTGGTAACAATGTGGGCAAACTTAAAAACATCTGTCCATGCAATGCATGCAGAAGAGTTCAGGAATACTGAACACAAAATTAAGACAAATGAACATCTAAGCTCCTGCTGAACGTTTTGTATTTCTAATTGAAAGCTATACTGCCATCAAGCCAAATTCAAGGGGCTTCCTGGTAACCACACTCTTGTGCCTTAACTTCTTCAGTGGAGTGCACATGCAGCATGAGAACAGATGTTGATCCAACACCTCACAAAATGAACTTTTTGTTCCCGACTGAGGCTACTGGGTATATAAGTAAGGAAAGGCATGCAGGGTCTGCAGTGTGCACCAGTGCAGTATGTGCAGACATACCTGTCTGGTAAGGCTCCCGCCAAGGTTCATGGTACCAGAACCAGTTTTATTAGTCTGCAGCCACAGCATCACTGTGGAGGTCAGCTTGTAATGAGCAGTACGACCGCTGGATTTCTCCTGGAAGAGGGAGGACAAAAGGAAAAACACAAAAAGGTGACAAACCCTCCAGAAACTAAAAGGTGGCTGGCCACAGGGGCTCCATGAGTAAAAGGGCAGATACATGTAAATGCAATTACAGAGCACAGCCTGTTTCTTAAGAACAAGCACAAGTGTGCCTATTTGCCCAGTTCTCCAAAAGCAAATCTTGCTAGAGCAATTTAACCTCCCGTTACCTCGTTTTTATTACCTAATTAGTGATATTTATCTGTAAACCTTTATGTTTTTTAAGAAAAAAAAAATAATCTCAGGATCGCGAGTGTAGAAAGCAACATACTTTCAATTCTTCTGGGATTCCTTTTGATTACAGACCTGACTTATCTCTATCCAAATTGCTTCAGGGAATTTTCAAAATTAACAGGGGAAAGAAGTTTACAGCCCCGAACACAATATTGCATTGTTCAGTGGAACACCTGTGCTCGTTAATTGTCTGGAATTAACTGGGTTTTGTTTTCACTTAGGAATATCAGCTGCCCCAGAGGCTGTACCTGAACCTCCACCACGTGGATGGAATCCCAGCATCCCTTAATCTTCTTTGATCCATCTCCAGCTTTCTTAATGAGGATCACACCGGCAAAACCATGATCCAGATCCCAGAGGTAGACAGAGGAGACTCCACCTTCGAAATACCTGCAGGATGCAATCCAATAGGCATGTTAACAGCAAGCAGGATCCAAGCTGGAGTCAGATAATCATCTTAAATAAGCAGAACCTCTACATCTTAACAAAGATTTTTTGATTGTAAGACGGCCCAATGTCAATGGGTAGAAAACTAGAAACACAGCAGTTGACATAATTTTATAATACACAGATTTTAATTGCAACAAGACTGTATTTCTCTAAAGGAGAATCAAAGTCTAGTGAGAAACAGAGAAGTTGCACATTTCTACAGTACTTGAGAAAACAATCCCTCTGATTCCAATTAACTCTAACAGCTGGTGAAAGCACAAGCTACAAAGCAGGCTGAGAGTAAGGCTTTATTTTACAGTTTTTGATTTTTTTTTCTCCTTTTCTTTCTCTATTGAGCAAGCCTGGAAGTTCTTTACAACATAGGCTGCTAATTAAGACAAAAGGGAGCAAGTAAGCAGCTTTATGCTGCTATCTCAAGACTCTGTGTGAGGCTGACTTACTGACTGCAAACAGAGCTGAACCAAAACCAAAGTCCTTAGGAACAAAAGGATGCTATCTAGGTTCACATCATATTTCAGCTTCAGATTCAGCATACAACAGAGAACAAGCTAACCCACCTCAACCTCACGTTTCAGGTAGCACAAGGTACATAATAAGAGAACTAACAAAACAGTGACACCTGCAGAACTCAGCTGCTCTCTAGCACTGGTGCTCTGTATTCCTGCTTCTTGCTATACAAGCAAGATGATCACAAAGATCTGCAAGTGGCTGCACGTTTCTCCTCTCCAGCAAGAAATGGAAACATCACTCATCGCCAATATGAGAAACGTGTTGGAGCCTCCCACCTTCGTGCTCCCCTCCTTTCTAAACACGAGCCTGGCAGTTGTTAATGGCACTTCAGATGTGATTTACTGTGCATTTTGGACTTGGCATATCAGCTTGAAGTGCTGTGGATTCAGGAACACTAACCCATCCTCTTCTGCAAGCTGGGAGAAAAAACATCAGGAATGTATTGCAAATAACCTGTGCTGCTTTGAACGCTTGATCTGTATTTACAGACCAGTCCAGCATGTTGTTGTTAGCCCAAGTCACCAAAACAGCCCTAATTCCTTACTGTTGTGTGCATGCATAACTGTATAACTGAAGAAACAACCACACACAGCACTGTCCTATGACATCTGTTAAGGCACTGCCTTTAAAGGAAAGCCCTGTGCTCTGCAGGTGTGCTGAAGCCAGACTTCCAGCAGGCAATTTGAACCTAACAAACCAACAAACACCCTTTTTATGTCCCCTGGGGAATTCACAAATGGATTTTGGTTAATGCAGTTAACAGGAATTTCAGGACTTCAGCAAGCTAAGTTCTGATTCTGATGTTAAGTTCTGATGCTTCCTTTGACAGAAGGGCTTGAACCACAGGCCACAGAGCCCAAAGCACTGTCCACTTCCACAGCAAGCTTGCTTAAAATATTCACATAAAGAATAAGTGAATTCAGTCAAAATAAAATGGAAGTCTCTGAGAACGTTACCATGTATACAGAGAGTTTCCCTATTACCCACTTTATGAGCTTGCTACAAGCATGAAACATTAATTAAGAGAGAGACCAAAACAAGGCTTTTGGAAATTCATTCTTACCTACTGTACTTTGATCCTAATGACATGAAACAGGAAAAAAAAATAATTTTTATGTGGTTCACCTTTATGAGATTCTACATAAAGGCTTTTGTGGGTATTTTAAGAATGTGCTAAAATGTTGTCTGAAACCACATAAAACCATCTGAAGAACCCCCCGCCAGAACTAACAGCACACACATGGAAATGCTTTAACTTGCCTTTGTATATTTAATGAATCAAATATAGCATTAATATTGTTTTAAGTAGTAATGTGCTACTTCAATGAAGTTGCTTTGACATTGTATATGGATGCTCCAACAACAATGGCAGTGATTGAACCATCACGAATCCGAGGCACGCTGGGATGAATGTGACCCAAAGCTTTCTCTGTGTCTCATCAATCCAGAACCATTCCACTCATTCCTCCTTCGTGGGGAGAAAATCTACAGAAGATGACAATTTTAGAGTCTACATTTCCTCATGCTGTAAATGTCCTGAAGGGAAGCTTCTGAAGACTATTTGAAGTCATGTTTGGGGGGAGGTACATTCCTTGAAACCTGTTTTCTTCAAGAAAAATTAAGAAGTAATACAGGTTAATTGGCTGCTGCATAATAGAAAATGGGATGACAGACAGATTGGTAGGAATTTAAATCTACGTTCATAAACTTGGATTTGCTGCAAGAAGGTTGGATTATCTCCAAGAAACCCCTTCAATGGTGATTGAAACTAATTATTATTTACTAAAATCCTACATCTCTCGGGGACAGATCTTCCTTTACCTACAGCAAAATTAAGGGAACAACAAAAAACATTGTTTTCTAGATATGTCACCAATCACGTCCCTCCATTGCCAAGCAAGAGGTCACCAAGCCAATGCCACCACCTGCTCTGAGGACAGCCAGTGCTCCTCCATCTCCAGTAAAATCAGCTTTTATGTGGCTGCCCAGGGTGACTGAGAGCCATAAACCCAACGTAACCACTCATATTATTTTCTCTGCAAAATTCAGTATAGCATTTCACTCAAAATCAATTCTAGTTCGAAAGCCATGATCAAACACTTCAGTTTTATATCCGCTACTCATCAACCACAAAGCTCCTGGAAAAAGCTGTTTTATACAAAAAATGTCACACTTAGGACTGACCTACTTTACGAACGCAAGAATAAAGGGAAGTATTTAAGCTAAGAGTGATCCAAAGCTTTATGAAGTGTTTGAAGTTCCAGCGGGTGGAGATGCAGGATGGAAATTTAAAGAACCTGAGCTGTATCCATCAGACAGAAGCTGTGGCCAGAACAAAGCTGTGACTTCAAGAGGGACCTGACAGATTCCTCAGTACAGAAGGACAGGATCATAACGTTACCACTAAGGAACACATCAGACAAGCCACCATAACCTTCCTGATAGCATTCTGCTTCCCAGAAGCCTTGCAAATGAATGCTGGACTGTATGCTGAGAAAATAAATTTCTACCACACGGCAATAAAAAGAAGCCATGACTCTCAGTTACACTCTAGAACCAAATCATTCATCCATAAAAACACTTGTGAGTTTTCCAGTAGGGAACTGAGTGCCAAAGGCAGTGGGTGGGTTTTTGTAGCTGGCTTAGGACTCTTGCAGCAACAAAACCCAGATGCCAAAGTACCATTACTGGGATCTCAGATGGGCCATGCAAACCTTCAAACGAGGTGCAGTGCTTCAAGCTGGCTCTTGCAAAGAAGTAAAATATTTTATTTTCTCAAGGCTGTATGGATACTTCTTCCAACTGCACAAGTTCAGCATGGAAAGGGAAATGTCTCTATTCAGACTTTCAAGAAACCTATCTTAAAAAAAATCTACCCCAAGGGGAAATATTGAGGGTTCACCTACAGATGTTTTTAATGCAGTGACAATGACTGGGTCACAACCAGAGCAACCCAAAGACACAATGAGGTGAGGAAGGAGATTCCTCACCTCCAATTAAAACAGATGACATTAGTGCCATGTGACTTGGTACAACTTCCCCCCAGTCCTTCCTCTGTGCCTGCACCCGACTGTTTCAAACATGAACAGCAACAGAAATATGAAGGAAGTGGGCAATTTCAGCAGTTCACTCCCTACCAAACCCAAAACATTGCTGAGGTGTCTGTTCCAATCACCTGCAGTCTTGTAGCTCAAGACAGGGAGAAAAAGTCTTTAGGACAGCAGCTGTCACCAAATAATTTCACTGCCTGTGTCCCCAGTCCAGCTTTCGACTAATGATGCTCAAAAGCTAATTCTCTAATAAAAAGGCCAGCCTGGTACCAGAAGTAACACCTCTCCTGCTGGCCTGCATATAAATGATTGAGAATTTGCTTCTCCCTTCTCAATCCCAGGGGTGCAACCATGTAACATGTAAAGAATGTTACCTAAATACTTAGAGAGAGGAAGGTAAAATGTTTGTGTATTCAGACCAGCTGTTTTTTCACCTCAGTTTATGAACACAGCCCAAAGTATGCCCGTGGACTCTGCACAGGTATTTTACAGAAATTCTTTCCAGCATACACAGGTGCAACAGTCCCTGGAGCAAACATACCAATCTTGTTAGGTATGTGTAACTTCAATGCCAGTTGTACTTAAAAGCACACATCTGGACCACGGTGGGATGACTCAAACTGTGAAGCAGAGTTGTGAAGTGCAAGAACTCTGCATGGAGTGAAAACAGTACCCAAACAATGGGATCCTGAAGGCTAAATATCACCCAGGACCTTGGATCTTGTGCTTTCTAGTGCCTTTCATTATTTAAAAAAACGAAAACCTGCATTGCTCACACCTTCCTTACCATCCAACTGCTCTTAGAAGATGGAAACTACAGATCAAATCCCTTTTGAGAAGTCACCTGGAAACAGCTCCATTAGCCACCTAATAATCAAGACAACGGGTCACTCTGTAGTGTGTCCAAAGGGGGGAACTGGCTCATTACCTGCCAGGAAGCACCAAATGCTCACAGATCTCTCACCCGTGCCCATCCGTTGGAGCAGCGCGTTCTGCACAGCCAGCTCACTGCTTCATCAGCCAACAGTCTGACACGTTTCAGAGGCTGCCAGCTACAATTCCTGGATGGGTAGGAGGGGAGAAGACAGCAGCACAAGTCTTGTGTGTCATGTACTAAGTGTGCCAAAGTCTGAGCAGGCTACAGATTTCATGCAGCTTCTTCCTTCAAATATGCATCCATCACATACACTGCAAGATGGCTAGTGCTTGTTCTTAAATTTGTCTTCCATCTTCCATCCTTTGAACACCATTCATTTGGGACAGTGCTGGCTTCCTAACAAAAGCTGTCCCTCTTGTGCTGAGACTTTATGTAATCATAGGGAACCGTGGGAACCCAAGGGAAAAACTCCTCCTCTGAAAATCACAGATTCAAAAGATAAG